AACTATGTTTATAAATTCTATCTTTGTACCAAATATTATTAATATCCGTTGAACTATTTAAGTTTAATAGAGTAAAAATATCCTAATCTTAGTTTCGCTTAAAATTTTGTATAAACGTACTATGTGAGACAGAGAAGGATATATGCTATATCCTTACGATACTATATTCAGATCAATTAATATATATATTTCAGCCGTTATCTGTCCACTGCTGGACATAAGCCTTCCCCATAAGGGGAGTTTTGCCAGTAGTTGCCATGCTAGTAGTAGCTGGTATCACCTATATAAGCTAGTGGCGTATATAACTATAAAAATACCGTCGAATTGTGAATCTCAACCTTTTGAACTTGCTTAAAACAAAATGCAGCGGTCCCTCCAAAAGGTTACAAATAACAGCATGATAAGTACCTTCACCCTTATCAATGTCCAAGCCTTTTTGTACGATATAAGATTGCAGTAAACATTTTTCAAATAGGTACCTAGCTGTTTCCTCAATATTAATGATATCTGCTACATAACAATCTATTATAAAGATATTGTAAATGTAGGTGTTTACACCTGATGCAAAATTCTATTCTGTTTTTGAAATCAAGAGTTTTTTAATGGATAATAATGGAATGGTAACCCTGTTTGCGATGTTGGTATACACTGGCGAGGTAGCAGTGAGGAATGATTGCTGACGATAAGAAGGAAGCTCGTTAGCAAATCGATGTGAATTCAACGATAAATTAGTCAAGATGGTTTCCAGGGAAAACCGCATGGAGGTCGACATGATAGGGTATATTGATAGAAATGGGCACTAACCTTCGCATTACTAACAATTCCTTCCCCGGAATTGAGGGTTAAAAAACCTGCACTGTACAAATAACGAATAATATGAATCATGTAATAATATTAATAAGGTAAAGCGGTTAATATTATACGAGGTCTGATCAAAAAATAACCTTTAATTTAATTTTTTTCAAAAAGTATTTATTTATTCATCAATAACTATCTTGTCCCCTTCAAAGTGATCCCCCTCAGATATAATACACTTATGCCAGCGTTTTTTCCAATCCTCGAAACACTTCTGAAACGCGCTTTTTAGTATCGCCAACAGCTCCTGTTTCGATTTTTCTTTTATCTCCTCAATCGTAGCAAAACACTATCCTTTCATCGGTGTCTTCAGTTTTGGGAAGAGGAAAAAATCAGCGGGGGCCAAGTCCGGTGAATACGGTGGTTAAGACATGATAACGGATATATAAAAGCGAGTTGTGTATGTTTGTTACATCTTGACGCTTTAATCATTTTTTATATAATTAAATTTGATATAAATCATCTTTACTAATATTATAAATTCCCTTTCTTTCCCATGGGTGTCGTTAGAAGTGACTAAAGAAACTTAATAGTAGAGGAATGGGCAACAACGTATCTTTTAAAACATCATCAAAAGCTACTAACTAAAGTCCTCGGGGGTGAAGGAATTGTTAAGGGCCCCATTGCTAGCAATATGTCCAACTAGGTCGACTTCTATTTGGAACCCTGGAAACCATCGTGCTGAATTCCAAGTGTATTCATCACGATGGACTAACTGACCTGTCTTTTCATCCTCATCTATCATCACTCATTGGTTGCCCCTTTGGTATATACTGATAATGCAGGTGGGGTTACCATTCCACCATCACCCATAAAAAACTTCCCTTAATAGGGAAGGCTTATGTTCAGCAGTGGACAGTTAACGGATGATAATGGATTTTAAAAATGTGAAATCGAGTTTGTTTTCATGTTTGTCTGTTACCTTATAGTGTTTTAACAGTTTAATCAATTACTATGAAATCTTGTATATACGTACTATAAGGGATGGACAAGAATATAGGCTACTTTTTATCACGGTCAATAAACATATTCTGGTCACGTGTATGAAGTCGCGGGTAAAAGCTAGTGTATGATAAAAAAAATACATTCCTTTATCGCAGTCAATGAAGATATTCCGGTCACGAAAATTAAAAGAGAAATTGTTCAATAAAATACTTAAAGTACTTATATTTATAATATAAAAAACAATACCGAGTAAAACAATCTGATCGTCTTCAAATCGGCCATTGAACGTGTCTGTGTCCACCGAGCAAAGCTGTGTTTGTGTAAAGATTACCAGTTATTTATGTTCAGAGACAACGTATTGCTTTTGAAGGGTTAAAATAAATATGCAGTAGTCCAATCTTAGAAGCGAGGGAGACTTTGTACAAAAGTCGTTTGCTTGGGTACATCTATCCCAATTATGTTTCAATCGTAAAGCAGTTTTGTTTGCATGGCTGTGTTCAGGTTTGAATGATGGGATATGGCAGTAAATTTACAGGGTACAGAGGAATAACACCTAAGTCCTCAGGACTGGCAATGCATGGGGGGTATCATGGGCGAAACAATATACTCGGTTATGTCCATGGTACTGTTCATGTCTATAGACAACGGTTACCATTTGCCATCAGGCGGGCCGTCAGCTTGTTTGCCATTCTAAGTTGTATATTAAAAAAAAATGTAAAACAATGTGATTTAGTGTGAAGTGATTAATAATAATATTATTGTATATATTCAAATAAAATTATAAAGCTTTCAAATTTTGTATAATTTATTAAAAAAATTATAAAAAGCTATTTTTATAATATAGAATGCCAATTCTGAAATGTTTGTAGTCCTAATAAAAGGGAAAATTCCACCATACTTGATTGACTTGATTTTTTCTGATATCTTGAACAATTATCATCATATTTCAACAAATTAACACAAAAAAATATTAAAATATACGTATAGACTATTCTCTTGAATTACAACTCTATTTGTGGTTGAAAACTGCGTTAAAATCTCTTACGTAGTTTAAAAGATCTAAGCGTACAAACTGCGGGAAGCGACTTTGTTTAATACTATGTAAAGCATAACTTTTAATTACGGCAAACTTAATATATAGTTATTTAATATTTTATATATGAGTACTACTAGCTTTTACCCATGAATTTGTCCGAGATATGTTCACTGACAAAAAAAGTAACTTATAAAAAGTAGCCCGTGTTTTTCTCTATCCAATATAATATATATATACAAACTTTCACAGCGATTGGTTAAGTTGTTAAAGTAACAAATAAATTTAAATAGTAAGGAAATATTTGATCTACTGTTAAACTATTTAAACTGTGTCCTAAGAACTATAAAAAGTTATTGCGCTATTGTGAACGTTACCTATCTACTTAGGTATATTTATTCTTCTGACCGTGAAAAAGATGGACATAAATTCGAAAAGGCACAATTTAAAAGATTTTCTCTTACAACACAAACAGTGCTATACTTGGGTTATCGTGATTTAAATTCTATCGGTTTTTAACCGTTATTAATAGGGTTGGGTAATATATAGCAATATCTATATATTCTAGATAAGAAAAAATTAATGTAAATATTGTAATTATGGGCTAATAAACTAGCTAACTATAAACATACAATAAATTATCGTTTCATTTCTGAGTAACAATTTATGTATTTCTTTCACAAATTTTAAAGTCTGTTTGGTTTAAAAAAGAAAGATTATTATATAGATTATATATATATATATATATAATATCATATAGTAAAAAATATTAATTATGTATATATCTTTTTCACCATCGCTGCCATTTATTCGTTTTCTGTTTTTACCCAATAGTTAGCTGTTAGAGAATGCCATATGGCATTAAGCTCGCCACCTGTTCAAATTTTTATTGTCCAAAAATACTATGAGATTGTATTTTTTTATGTCAGTCAAAAAATACAGTACATTTTCAGTGCTATTTCAAAACATCATTTTTAAAATGAAATATTTGAATTCAATTCTCGTGAAAGCTTCGAAACAGCAGCAACTTCGATGTTAAAGTTACTATTTCAGTATTAAAAAGTAACTTTTGCAGATTTATTTGATTTATATTGATTCGTGCAAATGTTCAGTGCGATCTTTATTTATAGATTAAGTACTTTTGAATTTATATGTTACAAACCAAACTAAATTGTGTTCGACAAAAAGAACCGCTTCAATTCTGGCAAAGCCAGTAATTTTGAATTAAAAACTAAACTACTACTGAATCAATTTCGATATTTTTTTATAAAACCAATCTGTAAGTACATTCTTTCATAAAAAAATAAAAAATCCAAATCGGTTTATAATTGACAGAGTTATGAGGTAAAAAACATTAAAAATAGCCGTGTGGTCCCGGTATAGAATAGGCCACCCCTTCCTATCCCGTGGGTGTCGTAAGAGCCGATTAAGGGAAGGTAAGGGGTGGGCAGCAGCGTCCCTCTTAAAATATCTCTAAAACCTGACTGCGGTTGCCAATCCGCCTGCCAAGCGTGGCAACTCTTGGCAAAACCCCCCAAGGGGGAGGCTTATGTTCAGCAGTGGACAATTAAAGACTGATATGATGATGATATGATGAAACATTTAAAAAAGTATAACCGAAGTAAAAACCTCCTTTTTTTAGAATCGGTAATTAAAGTATATTAATGATTTAAAATAATAGGATTAGCCTAATGATACTCTAAATCGCTTCTTAAACTATTTCAAATGACATAAAACAAAACCTAGTAGCTAAAATTCGATTCTGAATTAAATTTGTTAATTACTCAAGGTTTGAAATAGAACGAGAAAATGCCTCTGCGTAATATCGTAATTGTCACTTTTAGCAAATTCGCAGATTAGTTTAAGATAAAGCGAATAACATCTTACCTATGTCAAAACCCACGCACGTTTTCCTTCATAGCAGGGATCAAAATGAAGGAAACCAAAGCAAAGAGACTCTTACGTCAAGTCACAATTGTCTGGCTGTGAATTAAAATATTATTGAATAATTCTTTGACTCCTACATTTCCATATAAATTTATTAATCATCTCTCAATATTTTTGCGGGCAGTTTATGAACTCTATAGATTTCACCACTAGCCACCCCTCTGTGTAGTTGTCTCGCTCGCACCTTAACCCGCACGGTTACACCAGTGCGTTTTGATACCCCGCATGGTGCAGACGCCGCGTCACTTTCCAACGCATCATGGAAGATCGCGATTACGATTTTTAAATATCGAATGTGGTGTTTTTAATTCTTATTTATTTTTAATTCCACAGTATTACTTTTTAAAAAGTGAACGTTATAGTTACTGGCAGTTTGTAATTTTGGCCGTATAATTTGAGGTATCAGTGTAAAATAGTGTAAGTGTGGAATGCTAAAATTTTAAATTACCTCAAATTAATTAATTAAAAATTATTTTAAAACATTTCATGAAAGTGTAGATTAGGAGTAATTTGTAAGTGCTAGACCTTAATGTGTTTTTAATTTGCTGTATGAAGAAGAAATATAGTGGAGATGATTTGGGAAGTTTTAAAGGTAATAAATATTTTAAGTTAGACTTTATTAAATAAACTAATAATATTTTGAAAATAAATATTATACTTATCGTTTTCAATAATATTATAATTCGATGGAGTAAGTATAATACAAAACCTTTTAAGGGTTTTTTTATAGTATAGTTAAAAAAAAACTGCATCATAGAATAATAATTGTTTCAACTTCATCATTAATAAAAAACAGGACCAATTAAGCTATTTAAATACTGATTTTAAAGATGAAATCGATTATTTTGATCGATTCAAATACAAATAAAAAAAAATCTATAGCTTTAGAAAAAAAAGACAAAAATAATAATAATACAAAAAAAAAACCTATTAGGAGGAAATTAGTAAAACTTCTTTGCTAAATAATAGGGATATCCTTTGACCTTGTAATCAGCTCGTCATAGTCGTAGAATACTGACGGATCTGACAAATATTACATATATATCCATCAGTATTCTACGACTATGACGAGCTGATCGATCTTTTTACGAATTTCCGAAGAAAAATATAATGATTATATTGCATTTATGTAGATTCAATATTAATAACATACCATAACAACCCATTATCATCCCACTGCTGGTCATCTTGTAATAAAGGAGGCCTGTTATTATTAGCCATGCGGGTGAAACGGCTGGTGTAGGATGTTATGAGGGTGAAAAGGGATGATGACTTTTTAAATTTTAGTAATTGACTAAATGCGATATATAGTAAAAAGTTTTAAAAAGGAGTTTTTTAATCCTACAATATTTTATGTGTGTGTGTGTGTATATATAAAATTCTACATTATTTCTAATAATTCTTATTGAATTTCAAATTAGTATGTACTAATTCTGTAATATAATATTGGTTTTTTAAAAAACAATCTTAAACACAATTTACATTTAATTGTTATATCGCGTTTAATATTTATTTGTTTATTTATTTATATTATTAACATTCTATTTTTGTATTTACCAAACAAAGATTTTTAACTAAATAAAATTTAATTTAGATTTCACATGCATAAAATTTATTACTGTAATTTATATTCGGCCTAGTAAATAATTTATTATTATTCTATTTCCATATTTAGAGTAGAATTGATTGCATTGTTATTTAGTGTGAAATTAATTACTGCTTCAATTTGAACCGCCTAGATTTAAATACGTAAGGACGAAAATTATACAATTATTTTTTTATTTAGTCTATTGCTATTACATTTTTCGTTAAATTGATATTTATAATTTTAATAATTTATTATTAAAATTATAAATATTAAAAAATTTTACTAGCTGACTATCGTCATGAAGTTTAATTTACTAGAATAAAAAAACTCGCAATTTTAAACTTAGGTTCTTTTTGTAACATGGACATTTATTATAATACTAAGGAAGGATTTTCTTATTTAATTACTTATTTTTATAATTACTGTCAGAGATGATAAATTTTATTTATTAATTTTATAGATTGAAAATACTTCAATTATCTTACATTCTCTGTAAAGTTTTATAGTGTTATTTTCTTCAAACTATCTTATTTTCATAATACTATTAGTGTAGTACAAATGCGGTCTCTCGTCTTAACATTCAAAGTTTTGTATTCAAAGATTCTAAATAATTTATATTATTTCTCTAAAGAAGTACTTTATGGGCAATTTTTTTATCTTATGAACCTTAGATTTGGGTTCTAATCTAATTGACAGTAAAAATATACCTATTATATTATTAACTAGATTTTTGCCCGTGACTTCGTAAGCGTCGATTTCAGAAGTATATTTCATTGGTTTTCCAATGAAATATACTTGTAGATGGTGTGTTAAGATATAACTTATACCAGATTTTAAGTTAGATCTTCAGAAACGCAACTGTAAAAATCGTATCCAATTTAGTCTAGTAGCTTTTGCATGATGCCGGAACAAACATACAGACAGACATAATTTCTGAAAAAAATTGTTTTGGCTTTTATTGCTTTTATTGGGTCTTATCCCTCATATTATTTTTTTTTAAATATCTCCCATGTACAGAATTTATCAAGTTACAATTTTTTTTTATATTAGTAAGATGAGATTATAATTTCTGACTAATTCGGATCACATAAAAGGTCGGTAACAATCCAAACTAAATTTATTTGAAAACCACAACAAACAACAACAATATTCCTTCCTAATTAAACTAGAAACGCTGTCAACCGCAGGTACCTTAGAAATGCAGATTCGAGTCCTGTCGGATAAACAAACATGATACAATATAAATAAATTAAATAATTTGAATAATCTTCTCATGAACACTCAGGTTATGGAATGAGTTTCCAGCGGAGATTCTCTCTAGTGACTACAACATGGGGTTATTCAAAAAGAGCATTTTAATATTTTTTTATCTTCATTTATTTAGGGAATTTTGTCCTTTTAGCCACGTCAGTCCCATCGTACCTAAATCAATTTTTAGACATCATTGGATATATTTTAATAATCAAAAGAAACCTCACGCAAAATAAAGTAACATGAACGAAAGGATTGTCGTGGAATTATATGACAGAGAGACACAAAAAAAAAATAAGTTAACAAGTTATAGTCAGATGTAATTATAATATTTTTTAAGGGTCGGAAACCCGTAAGTTACACTCTTAGTACTGTAGGCATTTATGAGCTATGGTGAATTTTGACCATCAAATTTACCATACAGTAATTTGGAATTACGGCTTATACGATGGTTACTTCTGAGACACAATTGTAGTATATGTACCACAGGGAGACTTTGTACAAAAGTCGATTGCTTGGGTATCTCCGTCCCATTTGTGGTTCAACCGTGAAGCAGTTGTGTTTGCATGGCTGTGTTTCGGTTTGAAGGGTGGGATATGGCGTGAATTTACTGGGTACAGAGGAATAACACCTGAGTCCTCAGGAATGGCAACGCATGGGGGGTATCATGGGCGAAACAGTATACTCTGTTATGTCCACGGTACTGCTCATGTCTATAGGCGACGGTTACCACTTTCCATCAGGTGGGCCGTCAGCTTGTTTGCCATTCTAAGTAGTATAAAAAAAAAAACCCTGTCAGATCAACTAATCGGAACCTTAATATTTTAAACTTGTAGTATATATAGCTTTTACGCGCAACTTCGTCCGCGGGACGTATGTTCTTTTATTGTATGTTCTATATAAAATAAATGTGATATTTGACATGGAGAAAAACATATATATATACCAAATTTCAAGACGATTGGTTCTTTTCTTTTGGATTGAATCTTTAAGACTATAAGGTAACAAACAAATTCATATTTGCATAGGTTGCTAAACATAGGCTTCTCTCATAGACTGACTGCATACAATAACATATACTCGTATTACATAGATAATTATGTAATTAGACATAGAATTCTTAACAGTTTTTAACTTTGATTAGTGAAATTAAATTGTTAACACTTTACTTTCTAGACAAAATAATTGCTGAGTAATCCATTTACCATAGCCCCATTTATCTCGACTTTAGATTTGAATTTTAAATTGGCTGACTTTTTCCAACTAAAACAGAACTCGAACGATATCTGTTCAGAATTGAGGCAATTTGTCCAATATTCTGAATTAACATAATAATTATAAATTCCAAACTAGTTTGTCAGTTCAAGTTTTCGCAGTTAACCTGCTCGTTTAAATTGAAAACTTGGAAAGGACACGTTTTACAATCTGAAGATTGTTAACGTAAACCTTACACTAATATTTACTAGCTGTATCTCGCGGATTCGCTCGCGTGTATGATTGTATTCAGTAATTTATATTTTAATTTAAGAATAACCTATCCATGTTTTAAATTTCAATTCGTTTAGTAGTTTTTGCATGAAATAGTAATTAATATCCGTCTATCCTTAAAAACTTTCACATTTATAATAGCAGTAGGATTCTGTTTTCATCTATGTATACTCACTTCTTATTTTCAACCGACTTTAAAAAAAAAGGAGGTTACTAATTCGATATTTAGATTTAGATAATCTTTTTTTGTTTCCTCCAAAAGATTACAATAGTAAACTTAAATAATAATGTATATGGCAAAACGTTTGCTGGGTCAGCTAGTATCAAATAAAAAGGTTTTGTTTAATTTTCTTGCTTATAAATCTTATTTCGTACTCTTAGTAATATTTAAGACACGTCAATTGTGTATTTTTTTTATAATAATAATTTCACAGAAAAATATAAAGTAGGTATGAAGTGATATATATATATATATATATATATATATATATATATATATATATATATATATATATATATATATATATATATATATATATATATATATTTCATTAGGAGACAGACGTTACAAAGAAGATATGACAACCGATATAGTGGAGAGAACTAAGTTGCCACACTTAAAATATACATAACATTATATTATAATATTATAACGATCTAATTACATATAAGTTATTACATGTAGTATTACATGTAACTTATAAGTTAAACCGGCAGTTACTACATGAAAATATAATGTATGCTTACAAAACTTTTAAAAATAGAACATATATTATAATATTGTTGCCATTACCAACACTTTAATAGTCAAGTGCCTATAATTTGAAAAAAAAACCACATTTTTTATTTCCATTTCAAAACTATTCTTTCGACAAAATTATACCTTGAATATATGCATCATATGTACTTATCATTGTTTTATTTTTTATGTATCATTGTACAATAATGGGGTGTAAATAATAAAGGGGTTTCGATACTATAAATATGGACAATTAGAGTATTTTTTGTCGTGACCTTCGATCATTTTATAGCTGTTTCATGATATTACTTTAGGTAAATATTTATTATTAAAAATTTCATCACCATATCTCATAGGCTTCCTCCTTAGGAGATTTTGCCAAATAGTTGCTAAGCTTGGCAGCAACCACAGTTAGGATTTAGAGATGTTTTGAGAGGGATGATGACCCATCCATCCTTCTCCTTTAGTCGCCTCTTATGACACCTACGGGAAACGAAATGGTAGCCCATTCTATACTGGGCCTACT